ATCGGAATAATCGGATCCGATTACTCCGGTCATTGGATGATCGGCGCAATAGGATTCCGATCGTATTGGGCTCCATTTTGGAATCTGTGGGATTCCAATTGGACGATCGGAATAATCGGATCCGATTCCTCCGATCATTGGATGATCGGAACAATCGGATCCGGCTACTCCGATCATTGGATGATCGGAGTGATCGGATCCGACTACTCCGATCATTGGATGATCGGCGTAATAGGATTCCGATCGTATTGGGCTCCATTTTGGAATCTGTGGGATTCCAATTGGACGATCGGAAGAATCGGATCCGATTCCTCCGATCATTCGATGATCGGAATAATCGGATCCGATTACTCCGATCATTGGATGATCGGAATAATCGGATCCGATTACTCCGATCATTGGATGATCGGCGTAATAGGATTCCGATCGTATTGGGCTCCATTTTGGAATCTGTGGGATTCCAATTGGACGATCGGAATAATCGGACCCGATTCCTCCGATCATTGGATGATCGGAATAATCGGACCCGATTACTCCGATCATTGGATGATCGGGATAATCGGATCCGATTACTCCGATCATTGGATGATCGGCGTAATAGGATTCCGATCGTATTGGGCTCCATTTTGGAATCTGTGGGATTCCAATTGAACGATCGGAATAATCTGATCCTATTCCTCCGATCATTGGATGATCGGAATAATCGGATCCGGTTACTCCGATCATTGGATGATCGGAATAATCGGACCCGATTACTCCGATCATTGGATGATCGGCGCAATAGGATTCCGATCGTATTGGGCTCCATTTTGGAATCTGTGGGATTCCAATTGGACGATCGGAATAATCGGATCCGATTCCTCCGGTCATTCGATGATCGGAATAATCGGATCCGATTACTCCGATCATTGGATGATCGGAATAATCGGATCCGATTACTCCGATCATTGGATGATCGGCGTAATAGGATTCCGATCGTATTGGGCTCCATTTTGGAATCTGTGGGATTCCAATTGGACGATCGGAATTCCTCCGATCATCGATCGGAATAATCGGATCCGATTCTCCGATCATTGGATGATCGGAATAATCGGATCCGATTACTCCGATCATTGGATGATCGGCGTAATAGGATTCCGATCGTATTGGGCTCCATTTTGGAATCTGTGGGATTCCAATTGGACGATCGGAAGAATCGGATCCGATTCCTCCGATCATTGGATGATCGGAATAATCGGGTCCGGCTACTCCGATCATTGGATGATCGGAATAATCGGATCCGATTACTCCGATCATTGGATGATCGGCGTAATAGGATTCCGATCGTATTGGGCTCCATTTTGGAATCTGTGGGATTCCAATTGGACGATCGGAATAATAAGATCCGATTCCTCCGATCATTGGATGATCGGAATAATCGGATCCGAGTACTCCGATCATTGGATGATCGGAATAATCGGATCCGATGACTCCGATCATTGGATGATCGGCGTAATAGGATTCCGATCGTATTGGGCTCCATTTTGGAATCTGTGGAATTCCAATTGGACGATCGGAATAATCGGACCCGATTCCTCCGATCATTGGATGATCGGAATAATCGGATCCGATTACTCCGATCATTGGATGATCGGAATAATCGGATCCGATTACTCCGATCATTGGATGATCGGCGCAATAGGATTCCGATCGTATTGGGCCCCATTTTGGAATCTGTGGGATTCCAATTGGACGATCGGAATAATCGGATCCGATTCCTCCGATCATTGGATGATCGGAATAATCGGATCCGATTACTCCGATCATTGGATGATCGGAATAATCGGATCCGCTTACCCCGATCATTGGATGATCGGCGTAATAGGATTCCGATCGTATTGGGCTCCATTTTGGAATCTGTGGGATTCCAATTGGACGATCGGAATGATCGAATCCGATCCTTCCGATCATCCCATGATCGGAATAATAGGATTCCGATTGCAGTGGGTTCCCATGTGGATTCTGTGGGATTCAAATTGTATGATCGGAATAATCGGATCCAAGTACTCCGATCATTGGATGGTCGGACTAATCGGATCCAATCACTCCGATCATCCAATGATCAGAATAGTAGGATTCCGATTGCATTGGGTTCCCATGTGGATCCTGTGGGATTCCAATTGTATGATCGGATTGATCGAATCCGATCCATCCGATCATCCAATGATCGGAACAATCGGACCCGATTACTCCGATCATTGGATGATCCGAATAATCGATTCCGATCCTGCCGATCATTGGATGCTCGGAGTAATAGGATTCCGATTGTATTGGGTTCCAATATGGATTCTGTGGGATTCCAATTGCATGATCGGATTGATCGAATCCGATCCATCCGATCATCCAATGATCGGAACAATCGGACCCGATTACTCCGATCATTGGATGATCGGACTAATCGGATCCAATCACTCCGATCATCCAATGATCAGAATAGTAGTATTCCGATTGCATTGGGTTCCCATGTGGATTCTGTGGGATTCCAATTGTATGATCGGATTGATCGAATCCGATCCATCCGATCATCCAATGATCGGAACAATCGGACCCGATTACTCCGATCATTGGATGATCCGAATAATCGATTCCGATCCTGCCGATCATTGGATGCTCGGAGTAATAGGATTCCGATTGTATTGGGTTCCAATATGGATTCTGTGGGATTCCAATTGTATAATCGGAATAATCGGATCCGATTATTCCGATCATTGGATGATCGGAATAATCGGATTCGGTTATTCCGATCATCCAATGATCGGAATAGTAAGATTCCGATTGTATTGGGTTCCCATGTGGATTCTGTGGGATTCCAATTGTATGATCGGATTGATCGAATTTGATCCTTCCGATTATCCAGTGATCGGAATAATCGGATTCGATTATTCCGATCATCAAATGCTCGGAGTAGTAGGATTCCAATTGTATTGGGTTCGAATTTGGATTCTGTGGGATTCCAATTGTATGATCGGACTAATCGGATCCCGGATCCGATTTCTCCGATCATTGGATGATCGGAGCAATAGGGTTCCGATCGTATCTGGTTCCAATTTGGATTCTGTGGGATGCCAATTGTATGATCGGAATAATCGGACCCGATTACTCCGATCATTGGATGATCGGAATAATCGGATCCGATTATTCCGATCATCCAATGATCAGAACAATGGGATTCCGATTGTATTGGGTTCCCATTTGGATTGTGTGGGATTCCAATTGTATGATCGGATTGATCGAATTCGATCCATCCGATCATCCAATGATCGGAATAATCGGATCAGATTCCTCCGATCATTGGATGATCGGAATAATCGGATCCGATTACTCCGATCATTCAATGATCGGAATAATCGGATCCGATTATTCCGATCATACACATGGGTTTGTGCTCTACTGCGGTTGCATGATCGGAATAATCGATTCCGATTACTCCGATAATTCAATGATCGGAATAATCGGATCCGATTACTCCGACCATCCAATGATCGGAATAATCGGATCCGATTATTCCGATCATACCGGCGCCAGCGAGCGTCGCTAATAACAACACCAACACCAACACCAACACCAACACCAACACCACCAACAACAACAGCAACAACAGCAGCCACAGCACATTCCCTAAGAGGACGGCCCAACACAATACTTAGGAAGAGCGTGAGGGAGAAGAGGAATAATAACTATAGCACTGCGTGACAACATATGGTATTATCAAATAGGGCGAAGAACTCCGCACCGACCTCGTGAGCGTGACGCACCATCATGAGGCACCAGCGGCGGCTACCATTGCTGACGCCTGGGTGCAGGCGATGTTGAAGTGAGCGGTGCCCTCGGCGATGTGGATGACGTCGTAGTGCCGCTGTCCTGTTTGACTATGGTGAACAGCTCAAAGGCCGAGTCTGGACGGAGCGGAACAGGATGCCGCGGAACCCGTTCACCCCGAGGTTGTGGACGGCGTCGTTCCACTGACTGGACTTGCGGAGTTGGATCTTCCCGAGGAGCTTACTGTTCTGGCGGACGGAGCATGGCGCGCCGCGGCGGCACCTGAGCTGGACCTGTGTGCGAGAACTAACGTCGTTCCACAGGGTGGGCTGGGCTCTGGCATGATCGATGAAGGGGGGGTCGCGGCGATGTTGCTGGCAAGCGTGATGGCGTAGCTCTTGGAGAGGTTGTGGCCCTTGACAACGACCCCCGCCTGCTTGATGTGCGTGGGGAGGCTGGAGATGAGCTGGCGGCCATGGGCTCCCAAGGGCGCGTGGGGGGGGAGAACCCGCCAACCCAAACTTTTGAGCGGGTCGAACTGTCGTCGAATTACGAATCGAAGCCGACAATGGACGGGAAGGGTCTGAGCCTGCGACGGGTCGTAGGCGGGCCACAACTTTCAACCGTAGCGCTGGCCGTTGATGACTGGGAGCTCTCGATTGCGGCGAAGCGGTCCTCCATTTGGACCCGCAGTGCGTCGAGCGATGCTGAGTCCGACGAGGTATTGATTTCGGTTTCGAGAGAACCAAGCCGCTGAATGTAATTGGTGATGGTCGAGTCCTGCCCCTGGATTCCAGTTCGGATCGACTCGATGACGGTGAGAATGGTCTCGGCTGCCGACAATCTGGTGTCAACGCTGTCGATTTGGGCCAAGGTCTGCGCGATGCCTTGCTCCACCATGCTCATGGCACGATAGAGAAAACTGAGGTGCATGTGTGCGAAAAACGAAGGGGATGGCCGCCCAGGCTTGACACCTGGGATTGCTCCTCAAGCGGAGATGTCAACTCAAATCGCGGACTGCCCTGCAACTTGAGCCAACATGGCAACGGAGCAGGCGGGTGGAGGAGGAGGAGGAGGAGGAGGAGGAAAAGGAGGAGGAGGAAAAGGACGCAAGGAGGAAAAGGAAGGCAAGAGGAGGAGGAGGGAGCAGAGGGAGCAGCACGAGCAGCAGCTGCAGCAGCGGGGCACCCAGCCGCGCGGGCCTGCAGCTCCCTGGCCAGGTCCGCCACCCTGGCCCGCTCTGCCTGCGTGCCCGTAGGGCGGGGAGGGGGGAGGGGGGCGACGAGGGGGGGGGGGGTCGGGGGAGGGGGGGGGGGCACTGACCTGGAACTGACGATACATCACTGATACGCCCTCGATCGCAGAGGCGCACACTCCTGCTCGGAAGGGCCGACGGTCAGACTCTCGAGGCCTGCGCAGGGGCACCCTGCAGGTGAAGGAGGGGGGGGTGAGTGGCTCGGGGGGGGAACCCATTGACCTGGAACCGACGTTGCATCGCCGAGAGGCCTTGGATCGCAGAACCGCTCGCTCCTGGTCGGAGAGGCCAGTGAGTCAGATCCAAGAAGTCGGCGCAGAGGCATGTCGTGGGGGAAGATTGCGGGGGGGACTGGTTCAGGCATCATCAGTCAGCGTCGAATCGGGAAATCGGATCGGGACGTGCGCCCGATCAGGAAGCGCGGGGAAGGAGTCGAAATCGAATCGGCTCGGCCGCGCCAAGACTCCGCCATTGAAGAAACCATCGGGCCGCATCGGGCTGTGGGAATATCGGAATCGAATCGAGCTGGGCCCGTCGGAAGAAAACATCGAAAAACATCGAAACGGGCCCTGATCAAGGGGGGAACATTGACCTGAAATCCACGATGCGTCGCCGATAGATCGGCGATGGGCCCTCGATCGCGGAGCCGCAATGTTCCTGCACAGCCCGAGGCGCCCAAACCCCGATCCCAGACCCCCGACGTCATGTTTTCCCGGAAAGGGCGTGGGCCCAGGATTCTCTTTTGGTATGGTAACCTGTCCCAATTGCCATGTTCGAAGGGGGCCGGCGGATTCTTTCCCTGATCAACAACGGCGTCGAAGAGTGCCGACGGACTAAACCATTAGGATGTCCCGAGCGAAACGCTAGTTGTGGAAATCCGATCGGCAAAGCAAACAGTAAAGTAAGCATTTTCGTTTGTTGCGGGTTTCTCGAGCGAAGCGCTTGTTCTGCATAATTTGTTGAGGATGTCTCGAGCGAAACATGTGTTATGTGCTATAGTTCGTTCCTCTCCTGGGGACCAGGATTCAGAGGATATCTCAGGTGCAGTGCTTGTTTTCACGTGCCCAGGTCTTGAGGATGTCTCGAGCGAGACGCTGGGCTTCACGCCTCCAGGTTGCCCAGGAAGATGTCTAGCATCAGGATTTGTTGAGGATGTCTCAGCTTAGTTTCACGCGTCCAGGTCGCACAGGCGGATGTCTAGCATGAGGATTTGTTGATGATGACTCTAGAGAGAGGCGCTTGTTTTCACTTGTCCAGCTCGCCCAGGCAGATGCCTAGCATGAGGATGTGTTGAGGGTGTGCTGAGCGAAACGCTTGAACTTGTTGAGGTTAAGGATATTTCGAGAAAGACGCTTGTTTTCACGTGCCCAGGTCGCCCAAGCGAGTGTCTGGCATGAGGATGTGGTGAGACTCGAGCGAAACGATTGTTTTCACGTGCCCAGGTCGCCCAGGCGGATGTCTAACATGAGGATGTGCTGAAGATGCGAGACGGATGTTTTCACGTGTCCAGGTCGCTCAAGCGGATGTGTAGCATGAGAAAATGATGAGGATGTCTCGAACGAAACGGCTGTTTTCACGTGTCCAGGTCGCCCAGGCGGATGTCTAGCATGAAACTGTTCGTAGGATGTTTCGAGCGAGCCGCTCGTGTTCGCGTGTCCAGGTCGTCCAGGCGGATGCCTAGCATGAGGATGTGTTGAGGGTGTGCTGAGCGAAACGCTTGTTTGCACATGTCCAGGTCCCCCAGGCGGATGTCTAACATGACAATGTGTTGAGGTTAAGGATGTTTCAAGAGAGACGCTTGTTTTCACGTGTCCAGGTCGCCCAGGCGAATGTCTAGCATGAGGATGTGTTGAGATGTCTCGAGCGAAACGGTTGTTTTCACGTGCCCAGGTCGCCCTAGCGGATGTCTGACATGAAAATATGTCACGTGCCCAGGTCGCCCAGGCGGATGCCTAGCATAAAGCTGTTCGTAGGATAGTTCGAGCGAGCCGCTCGTTTTCGCGTGTCCAGGTCGCCCAGGCGGATGTCTTGCATGAGGATGTGTTGATGATGTGCTGAACGACACGCTTGTTTTCACGTGTCCAGGTCGCTCGGGCAGATGTGTAGCATGAGACGGTGTTGAGGACGTCTCGAGCGAGACGCTTTGTTTCACGTGTCCAGGTCGCCCAGGCGGATGTCTAGCATAAGGATTCGTTGAGGATCTCTCGAGTGAAACACTTGTCGTAGAAGAGTGTGTCGCAGTTTAAACCTGCCCGTCCGTAAGGCGTCCCCTGGCGCCCTGGCGCGCGCCTGGCGCGTCCTTTGCGACGTTCAGGCGTGACGTGCCCTGGCACGTCCCCCAGCACGCCACTCGGCGTGGCACGTTCCCTGGCTCGTCCTCTGTCGCGTTTCCTTGCTCGTCTTGCTCGTCCCCAGGCGTTTCCCCTGCCCGTTCAGCGGCTTGCCCCTGGCAACGTCCCTTGGCATGACGTCCTCTGGCCGCCCCATGGCACGCGCTTTGGCACGTCCCGTCCCGCGCAGGTTCCTGACACGTCCAGAGCACGTCCCCTGATGCGTCCCCTGACACGTCCCGTGGCGCATCCCCTATTGCGCCACTGGCACATCATGTGGCGCGTCCGTGAGCCTGTGCCCCGTGTCGTGTCGCTCCTTGTCGGTGCTGAGTCGGATTTCGAGGTCGAGTTGATTGAACGTCCTCCACGTTTCCACTTCAACTAGCCCTCGGGCGGCTACTATGTACTCAGGCAGTTTGAGCTTAAGATCCAGATCAGCTCGGTCAGGACTCGAATGCCAAGGAGGACTCGATCCACAGCGCTAGATAGCACAATCGCGGCATGGCACTTCGCAGTTCAGCACGGCACAGCACAGCACAGCCCTGGGCACGGTACACCAAGATAGATACATTCAGCATTGCAATTGCTTGTCGCCCATTCTAGTGTCTTGAAAACGTAACCCTGCCTCACATTTTCATATCCCTTTCCGGGTTCGTGGGTCGATCATGTTTTTCGTAACGTCCACCCCAAAACACTCGACCTATTCCCCATTCCCCCGGACCGTTTTTCACGGAAAAGGCGCAGGCCCAGGGTTCTATCTTGATATGGTCTACCCCCGGCCTCGACTTGAGGTGGGCCGGCGTAATCATTCTGCGATAGATAACGTGGAAGTGTGGGCCAGCGGATATTGATTCTGAGGATGTCCCGAGCAAAGCAAAACGCTTGTTCTGCATAATGTGTTGAGGATTTGTTTTTCTTTTCGCTCGAGACATCCTCAACCAATCGATAATTGGTTGAGGATGTCTCGAGCGAAAATATCGTTTAGCAGAGTTGGAAGAGGTTCAGGCGAAACGCTTATTCTCGAATGTCCAGGTCGCTCAGGCAGATGTCTGACATGAGGATGTGTTGAGGATGTCTGGGGCAAAGCGCTTGTTTTCACGTGCCCAGGTCGTCCAGGCGGATGTTTAACATGGAGATATGTTAGGGGATGCCTCGAGCGAAACGGTTGTTTTCACTTGCCCAGGTCGCCCAGGCGGATGTTTAACATCAGGATGTGTAGAGGATGCCTCGGGCGAGACGCTTGCTTTCACGTGTCCAAATCGCCCAGGCGGATGTCGGACATGAAGATGTGTTGAGACTGTCTCGAGCGAAACGGCTGTTTTCACGTGCCAAGGTCACCCAGGCGGATGTCTAACATGAACATGTATTGAAGATGTTTCGAGCGAAGACGGCTGTTTTCACGTGCCGAGGTCGGCCAGGCGGATGTATAACAACAGAATTGATTGAGGTTGCCTCGAACGAGACGCTTGCTTTCACGTGTCCAGGTCGCTCAGACGGATGTCTAGCATTAGGATGTCTTGAGGATGTCTCGAGCGAAACACTTGTCGCAGTAGAGTGCGTCGAAGCCCAACCCACCCGTCCGTGGGGCGTCCCCTGGCGCGCTGGCGCGTCTCCTGTGAGGCCGTCTCGTGCGCGTGATTGCAGGGTGTGTGCGTTGCAGAGCGTGGCGCGCTGTTGGCCCATTTGCCGCGGTGTTCGCGCGAAATGACGTTGGACAATCGTTTCTACGGCGCGTCCTTTGCGACGTTCTGGCGTGACTTGCCCTGGCACGTCCTCTAGCACGCCCCTCGGCATGGCACATTCCCGGGCTCGTCCTCTGTCGGGTTTCCTGGCTCATTACCACGTCCCCTGGCGTGACGTCCTCTGGCACGCCCCATGGCCCGCCCCATGGCACGCGCCTTGGCACGTCCCGTTGCAGGTCCCTGACACGTCCAAGGCACGTCTCCCAATACGCCCTCTGACACGCCCCCTGGCGCATCCCCTAATGCACCCTGGCACATTATGCGGCGCGTCCGTGAGCCTGTGCTCCGTGTTGTGTCGTCCTTTTTTGAGCTCGAATTGAATGAACGTCCCGCACGTTTCGAGCTCCGGGCCAGCTACTATGTGCTCAGGCAGTTCGAGCTTAAGATCCAGATCAGTTCGGTCAGGACTCGGATGCTAAGGACGATCAGATCCATAACGCTATAAAACACAATCGCGGCATGGCACATCGCAGTTCAGCACGGCATAGTACCCTTGGCACGGTACATCAAGATCGATACGTACAGCAGTGCGACTGCCCGTCGCCCAATCAGGTCTTGAAAAAGATGCCATGGCTCACATTTCTATACTCTTTTTTGGGCTTGTGGGTCGATCACGTTTCGTCCTGAATGATGGCCCCGCGGCCCAATGAGGGCCACCATAACTGAAAAATAACCAGAGGCCTCCCGTCGTGTTTTTCATGGGTCAATTTGGGTCTGGGATCGGCGATGACTGGGCGCCGTTGCTTCCCCACTCCCTGGGCCAGCCCTCCCGTGTCATTGGCCACTGAGGGCTGGATGAACATCAGCTTGACGGGAAAGCGATCAACGGCAAGGGACGACGTCGGCGTTGGTTTTTGATGCTACGTGGATCATCCGAGGGATCGCACATTCGCGATCACGCGGGTCGACCGATATCGACCGATTCCAGGCAACCCTGCGCCTGCGCCGAGGTAGCCGCCGAGTCGACACGACGCGAACCTGACGCAATCGAGGGTTGCAGCAAGGCTGGCTTCAGCGGGTCCCCAAAACGCCGCCGCGGCCCCGAAAGGGCGCCTGAGGCCGCGATTTCCTTCGCCCCCCGTTCGCTTACCCCGCGGGATGTTTCACAGCAGAGCTCCCGCAAAGGTCGGGACCCTTTCCCCAGTGTCAAATTTCTCATCTTGTTGGCAGCGCGCACACGTGGGTGGATGGAGGGGGGGAGGCTTCTTAGAAGGAGGCCAGTTCGTAGAAGGCACCGATTCTTCATCTGCAGATGAGGCCCGCGCCTTCTAAGAAGCAGTGGTGTTTCTTGGGAGCCCCTCCTCCCCCCACCCCCCGCCGCGCGTGGCTGAGGTTGTTTTACGACCGAACTCCCCAGAGGCCTGGACCCCTCCCGAGGACTGGCTGTACACCCTGAGCAATTTTTGGGTGAACGCGAGGGAGGCGGGCACCGGCAACGAGTTTTATTCCATTTTCGAGCAGGAGGTCGACCACAAAATAGCTTACCCCCAATTTGTCCCAGAAAGGCCTTGGGTTCAGGGTTATTTCTTTTTACTAAAACTCCATTGTCCCCAGTGCCAAGTTCGCGAAGGACTGGCTCTCTTTTTTTCCGTAGTGCACAATGAAGTCGAAAGGGGCAGGCGGATTAAGCTGTAAAAAATCAAGAGCGATACGACGGTTTTCGAAATCCCGATCGATAAAACAGCAGGTTAAAATAAACATGTTCGTTCGATGCGGATGTCTCGAATGAAGCGTTGTTTTTGTTTGCAGAATGTGTTGCGCATGCATAGATTTTTGTTGTTTGCCTATATGATGTTGTTTTTTTGTTTTTCTCTCTCTCTCTCTCTCTCTTTCTTTGTTTCTCAAGCGAAGCGCTTGTTTTCAAGCGAAGCGCTTGTTTTCTGTTCTGCATAATTCCGAACGCCCCAAGGCGGGACAAACGTGACAACGCGCGGATCCCTGGCGCCCCATGGCGGGATACGCGCGCAAACAATTGGGCTCCTAGCGCCCACTTGTAGGACAGGCGTGACAACACGTGGGCTCGCAACGCCCAAGCACGGGACAAGCATGAAAACACGTGATTCCCAAGAGCGGGGCAAACGTGAAAACGCTTCAATCCCTAACCCTTCATTGGAGACACGCGCGAAAACGCACGTGCTTCCAACGCCCCAGGGCGGGACAACCGTGAAAACGCACGTGGTTCCCTGACGCCCAACCGCTGGACAAGCGCGAACACAAATGGGTTCGTAACGCCCCGGAGCGGGACAGACGCGACAACAAATGGGCCCCTCGCGCCCCAAGACTGGACAAGCGTCAGAACGCACGGCTTCCTAACGCCCCAGGGTGGGGCGAACGTCAAAACACTTAGGCTCCTGCCTTGGAGCGGGAAAGGCGCGAAAACGCGCAAGCCCTGGCGCCCTAGAGTAAAACCGATTCAGTTCCGAACGCCTCCGGGGAAGACAAGCGCCGCGACGCGCTGGCCGCCCGCGCCTCAGGGCGGGACGAACGCGAAGACGCATGGGCCCCTAACGCCCCAGAGCGGGACAAACGTAAAACGCCGGCAACAGCCCCAGACGGCGCCCGGGGGCCGCTCCGCACGGCCGCGCCTCGAAAATTTCACCTCCACCCCGCAACAATGTTTGGGCATTGGGCGGACAAATCTATATAATCGACATACGAAGTCGATCTACATTCGTCCGAAGCGCAAAATCTCGCGCGAGATAGTCCCGAAAAGTTCATATAAACAGAATATGTGTTTTTTTTATAAACGCAACAAAAAACTCTACATTGGACCAAGACCAATTGCCTCGAGAGAAACGCTCAAAATTGAAACTTTTCCGTCGGCGGGGTTATCAGACGGCGACAGAGGCTGGGGCGGGGGCCCTCGGCTGGGCCAGCGGCGCTGCCATGCGAAGGACACCGCCGCCGTCGCTTCAAACTGCATACCGCGGCCGTGGTACGCGCGGCCTTGGGATTGCCAGCGCGGGCGCGGCCGCGTCGAGTGGGCCCAAGACGTCGCCGCGCGCGCGGGGCCCCCCTGCGGCAGCTGGCAACGGCCTCGCCGACAAGGCGCCAACACTTATGCACATCATTCGCCATAACTGCAAAACGCTGACATGTATAATCCATAGTTGTGGGTCTGGAGTCGGTTTCCCACTGTTCACTCCTCCTCCTCCGGTTTCCCACTGTTCACTCCTCCTCCTCCTCCTCCTTCTCCTCCTCCCCCTCCTCCTCCCCCTCCCCCTCCCCCTCCTCCTCCTCCTTCTCCTCCTCCTCCTCCTCCTCCTCCTCCTCCTCCTCCTCCTCCTCCTCCTCCTCGGGGCTCACGTGACGGGGGTCAGCGCTAACGGGGGTCAACCAATCCCCTCCGAGATCCTCTGGCCGAACCGGGCTTAGGAACCATCTGGAGCCGACCCCGCTCCCCTGCCTTCAACTGACCCGGGTTTGGGAACTACTTTGTGGCAGGCCTCGGCTCGCGACGTGGCCTTGGCCGACATGGCTTTGCGCTGACCCTGGTCATTGCGTCCCTGCCTCCTCCTCCTCCTCCTCCTCCTCCTCCTCCTCCTCCTCCTCCTCCTGGCTCCTCCTGGCTCCTCTCGGTGCCTGGTCCGCGGGCTGCGGTGGTGGGGCGGCACCGGCGCGAGCGTCCGAGGCCTGCTCCGCGGGGCCGCCGTCTCTCTCGACAGCTCGTCGGGGCACGTTCCTCCTCCTCCTCCGCTTTCTGTTTTCCTCCTCCTCCTCCGTCTCCGTGCTCCCTTTTCCTCCTCCGCCGCCCGCCTCCTCCGTCCTTCTCCTGCTGTTGGTGCTGCTCCTCCTTTCCTTTCCCTATCAATAACTCCTCCCTGTCGCACCCCGAAACATGCTGGTAGGATCGGCTGGGCGTTTCGCCAGACTTCCTCACCACAAATCACAAATGACCCTTAAGCTGAAAGCTTGCACAACCTGCGCGAATGGAGGCCGGGCCGTTTTGAAAAAATGTGGGTCTCGTCTTCACGCCGGAAGCACTCGTCTTAAAAATGTGCAAAAACCTTCATGGGTGGAGGGCGGACCGTGTTGAAAATATGGCCGTCGCCTCAGCGCCGCGCACATTCGTCGTACAAATGTTCAATCGTTTCGCGGATGGCCGGCAGGTGGTTTTCGAAATGTCGTCCTCGTCTTAGCGCCGCGCACATTCGTCTCAACGATCGTTTCACGGATGGAAGGCGGGTGCTTTTCGAAATTATGCTCTCGTCGTAGCGTTGCGCACATTCGTCTCAAAAGCTTGCAAAGAGTGCCACGGATGGAGGGCGGCTCCTTTTCAAAATGAGGTTCTCGCCATACCGCCACGCGATTTCGTCTAAAGAGTTCCCAACCGTGTCAGGGATTCTCGTGGTTAATGTCCCAGAACTACTGTTGGGCACGATGTCGGACTGTCAGGCCCAGGAACGGCGTCCTGGCGCGGTTCAGGATCGTGACGGCGAAACAGCAACGGCGATTCGTGGCGTTGAAGTCCCAGGAATTGCGTTCTGGTACAATTCTGGATGTTCTATCGGCTGTTGTCCAACGAGGCATTTCCATGAATGATAATAAGCCCGTGTGGGGCCATTCAATCCGAGAAGACTTGCTTGGAAACGGAACCCACGCTCGCACCCAGGCTGGTTTCTTGGCGGCGTCCTCCTCAGGATGCGAGTCGAATTGTCTGCCTTCGGCGCCCCAAACACCACGTCGCTGGGCAATTCCTCGGGCTTAGTCCGAGAATCACTGGGTGGGAGTGCATCCCACGCTCGCGTCGCTGCCGCGCTCTCTGCGGCGTCGTCATCAGGTTTCCAGTGGTACAACTCCTGCATACGCATGATTGCTTATTGCGTGCTTGCGTTATTGGTTGGTTGCGCGTTCACGTCGGAATGGTGCTCTCGCCGTCGCGCTGGCCACCACGCTGCGTTAGTTTCAAATGTGTTTTTGGAAGTACGTGTCCTGAGGGGAAAAGTCGTATGGCCAGTCGCGCGGTTTCCCCAGCCCCATTCATGGCGCGCTACCGTCCCGAGCGTGCTGGGGACATGAGCACCCCCGTTACGGCATTGACGGAATGAGCCTTGCTACCCGGGGAAGGGTTCGGAGTCCGCGAGGAGTCCTGGAGCACGGAAGGACACGCAAACGAAAATCGCTCCCGCCTCCGCGGAAATAAATTGGAAATGGGGACCCCCATGGGGGCAGGGTAGCCCGGTGGAAACTTCTGTGTCTGAAGGGGGGAAACGATGGTCTTTGTGGGCGCCCCTTTAGGAATTTGCCCGGCGCGGATGCGAGAGCACGGCTCCCAGGTGGCACGGTGGGCCGCCGCTTGCGCACCTTTCTTTGCTCTCCGTCGTCGTGAGAGAATGTATGTGTGTGTGCGTTTGCGTGTCATCTGCATTGCCGTCGTCATCGTTCGTCGCGTGGCGACCCCAACTCGGAAGCGAGCTCCCAAACATAAAACACGCCAATGTTGGAAGAATTGCGCGCGTCGGAGCATCGGGCCAGATCTCGATTGCAAAAACAATACATACATGTTCAGCAAATTCTGAAAAATTGTGTTTGTTCTGAACATTGCGTTTTTTTTCCGCAATGCGACCCCGGCTCGGAGGCCCCATCCAAGAGGTAAGCCGCTTGATTATATTGGAAGGATTGCGCCTGAGGCCCCAACGGGCCCGAATCCCATTGCAAAGCCGATAGGTTTTGAACTGGTTTTCGGGCTTCTCGCTATCTCCATGCATTATGATTGCTTCGCGTTGCCACCTCGGTTCGGAAGCTAATCCAAGCGGCACGCCGCAACATGACAGGGACCCGCGGGCAACGTTTGCGCGCCGCCCCCAGCCACCCCGCCCCGCGCGCGCGCTGCGCGCGCGTGAATGGGTGCGCGTGTGTGTGTGCATGTGTGGGTATGTGCGTGTTTGAGTTTGTGCGCGCGCGTGCGAGCCCGCGCGATCGCGCGATCGCGCGCGCGGGGGGTGGGGGTGGGGTGGTCCGCGGCGGCGCGCGGGGCTAGTTCGCCGGCAAGAAAAAGAGTTCCCTCTTGACTCCGTCTGCGACGAGGTGATCAACATGGCAGGTCTCCGCCCGTCGAAGAATGCGGTGTGGAATGCCGTCCGAATGGTTGACCACAGCAGGGAGACTGACGGTACGCCGCAGACCGAACGTGAGAATTGCGGGCGGAAGTGCGCCCTGTCCCCAGAGCAGGAAGCATATGTGGTGCTTCTCGTGAAACAGCATCGCAACAAACGGTTTTGTTGCTGCAGGTGCATCCGCATCGTGCTGAAGCTGAACTGCACCGAGAGAACGATCGCCAACGTGCTCAAAGGCCACGGATACCACTGGCGTGCCGTGCCCAAGATCCGCGGCCTCAGCGACGACGAATTGCAGAGGCGGAGCGCCTGGGTCGACAAGTGCGCAGGCAAGAAGCCCGAGCGGTGGCAAGACCACATAAACTTTTGTCCTCGACGGCGTCACTCCCACAATGGCTCCGAAACCTCTGGACAAGCGGTAGTGCCACACGGCGCAATCGAGCCGCCCCAAGTGAGCGAGGTGTGATATGGATGGCGCGCGCGGCGCGACGATCTTTAGGCGAAAGAGAGCGCTGCTCGATCAATCTGCGTAGCTCTAAGGCCAAGGGCCCTAGTAAATTCCGAGCCAAAACGGGCAGCGGGGAAAAGGGTGAGAGCAGTAGGAGCAGGGGCAGGAAAGGCTCGGGGAGTGAGCGGGAATCACACTCCTCCTGATCGGCGCTCGCGGCGCCGTCGAGCGACGATCACCGATCGCAGCTCACTTCATTAGTCAGGGCGCTTCGCTGAGAGAGCGAGCGCCGACACACACCCTGCTATGGATGCTGGGCACAGCATCTCCACCAGAACAAACACAGGCAAACGGCCTTGTCGGCATGCTATCCGGCTGCCTCTGGGCATTTAACGGGTGCTGCTACACGCACCGGCAAGAAACACATCAATTCTCAAAGCAAGCAGCAGCGCGAGTCCGATCGCTATGCGACAAGACTCAAAGAAACGCTATCTTATCGAGATAAGGTCTTAATAGTGTGGTCGTCACCACATTGGAAAAACAAACTGCGCACACTGAATGAAGCTTCGAACGGGCTGTGGGTGCCGAGCGCGGCAGCTCCACAATCAAAACAATGCGGACTAGCGTAGTCTGCCACACGATGCGGCACCAGGTGTAAAAAAAAACAAGCTGGCAAAACGGAGCAGAGCGGCGGCACAGAGCGGCGGCTTGCATCACGAAGTCTTCTTCTGAGCTTTCGCGTTGCCGGGCAACCCTTGAAGCTGCCTCCATCTATTTTGCAAATCCCAGCGCAGACTATTGTGCATCCTCGAAAAGTCTGGCTCATGGGTCATGTGATTCCTGCGAAGCCATGACGCATGCTTCCGGCAAGTCCTGCAGGTCACGTAGACACTGCGTGGGTTGTGTCCCACGCGTATGTTGTGCTCGGCGATCACACATGCGTTCATCTCCGATGGCTAAACCGTTGGCGTTGATCCGTTCCACGAAACCACGCTGGCTGACGAAGGAACTGTGAACCGTCATCGGCGATGACGGCGCAGAACTCGCTCCCTGCGCGAAGCTGTCCGGTGATGGTGGCGGTGCGGCTGGCGCTGCCGATCCGCTTGCTGATGATGAACTCTGGGCTGCGACGGCAATCATCGGCGGCTCCATGTGGACATCTCCGTCGGCGTCTTCGGGAATGGTAGGCGGTGCGTTGTTGCGGCGTCCAAGGTATCGTCCATCCCATCCTGGATATACTCCGGGCAAGGGGATGTCCGCGTGCCCGGTGTGGTCAGCCTTGGACCCATTGCTGGTGTTGTTGATGGTCCCGATCTGAATGGGATTGGGGTCGCCTGACCCAAATATCTCTCTTCGCACCACAAACCACAGCGCTGCGAACAATGTAAACCCAATCATGATTCCACTGAGCATCGCGATGAATGTCATATAGTAGACCCAATATGACATCGGCACTTGCCATTCCTGCGAGGGAGGCTGTGCCTTCACGCGTCCGAGACATGTCATCAGCACCGAGGCAAGCATGGCGGCGTGCGGTTGCCTAGTGCCAAAGTTGTGCTTCTTAGCCCCGAAGAAAGCGAGAAGCACTCCGGTCTCCATGATCTTAGTGAGCGCGTCGGCGACCATACTCCACGTAGGTATCCACGAGAGCTTCAGCTGGCTGTTGGGGCGCACCGTCTCCTTGATCATCGATGCGACGATGCGGAACCGCTTGTCGGTGGATTGACCCACGTCAGACTTGATGTGCGTAACCAGGCCGTTGCTGTCGCTGTAGATCTCCCCGGATCGTTTGGTGCTGAGGTCGTCGATCTGCTTGAGCGTCTTCTTCGGGTTGTAGGCCTCCGTGAGTAGCTGGCCGAACCAAGTACTCGACTCGGCGCCCTCCGAAGTGGCGTAGCCCTCGGCGGCCAGCGTCGACTTCACGGATCGCTTGACCGTGCCCGAATGCCAGGCCACGGGCAGGCACAAATCATATCGTCCAGCCACGACGTCCCGTGGCTTGTGAGTTAGCCCAATCGCCATGCCCCACTGGCTCTTCACCCCGTCCACATTGGCGAAGGCCGCGTCGCTGAAGCAGATAATGGTGCAAGTGCGCAGGTCGATGATGTTGCGCTTGATGACGATGGCGA